CATTAATATTACCCTTCACTGGAACTGAGGGGCCCAAACCCTGAAAAACAGCCAGAAACCCATCATCCCTCCTCCACCAAACTCTACAGTTCTGCTTCTCCCAGCATCCGCCAAACCCAGATTCGTCCATCAGACCGCCAGATAGTGAAGTGTGATTTCTCACTCCAGAGAACACGTTTCCACTGCTCCAGAGTCCAGCAGTGGTGCTCTTTGGTCTTATGTGCAGCTGTTCAGGTCATTTAACCACAGAATCTTGCTCTACACTTTCAGAACATAAGGGACTACACTACCTTTACCTCTTATATCTTCGGTAATGTGAGTGAAGGAACATAATTGGACCATTTTGCACTGGATTTTTTTCCCATATGCCCTGTCTGGACTCCAAGATGTTCTATTTTTAAAAGGTTATGTACCTCATCCCTGGGAAAGATAAGTGAAATGTACTCATTTAATGTACACTATTGCACCTCTAAGAGCGTTGTTGTACCTTTGAGGGTACTTTTACATTGTTTGTACCTTGGAAGACGAATGTGTATCCATACAGTTCCCTTCTTCCTGACAGCGTAGTTACTATAGTGATTTTTCCTTCTGTAAAGCACTTAATAGCCACACCTGCCTACTTTAATGCAAGTCTCTGAAACTGTGACAGAGCAAAAACAGACGTTGTGTCGGCCACCTCTTATCCCCGGCTACAGACAAGCCCTTCCAAATATATGATTAAGATCTGTTCCTGGTAATCAAATATGCTACAAACATTATTTAGGCCTGTTGTGTATGAGAGGGTTCAAACAGCGCACTCCTGTAATTAGAGGAACTTGCAGGACCACGCAGCGTCCTTTTGTTGAGCCTGGAGATAAAAGTCAGTTTGAATAACCGACGCGCCGTTCTCCAACTCATTAAATCCTGGCATGCTGACAAAGTAGTCAAAGCCCAAGTGTGAGTCAGAGTATCACGGTATGAACTGGATTGTGTGTTACACAGTGCGATTGGACACAACCGTTCATGGTACTCATACATGCTTGTAATGCCTTCATACTCTGAGCTCAATCCTGAAGTAGATTCATATCTTTGAAGACTTCGCGCTTTACCAGCGACAGAAGTGCATATAGACTCAGGGAAGAGTTTGATATGTGGATAATTGGAGGTCGTAAAAGCGTCTGGGAAGAAGCGAGGCTGTTATTTTAGTTCTGGTCTGTTTCAGATGAAGACCTGCTACATTAGCCATAGGTGCAGGTACAGCGAGGACACACCACATTAGATAGGAACGTGTCAGCCAGGAGCTCGTCTCCCTTCACACTGCAGCACAGAAAAACACTGTCAGCATCGGTCACACACGGGTAGAAACAAGTAGAGAGTGAGGGAGAGAGCGGAGAGAGAGAGAGAGAGAGAGACAGAGAGAGAGCGTAGTAAGATATATAATCAGTAATAGTGCGTGTAACAATACACTGTGTCAATACATTGCAATGCAAAAATATGATATGGAGATGGAAAATATCAGCTGCATTCTTTTAAATATGCAAACCTACTGCAGCTGCAATGTTTGAACAGCTCACATCAGCACATTCAACGTCAACGTCGAACTTAACCCACACCAGCACGTACATCGGCTCCTGAGTGGTGCAGCTCTTGGCCCCGTCCGTCAGGAGACTGAGTTTGATCCCTGGCGATGCCACAGCCATACACAGGCCTCTGAAGTCGTGTCCTCGTAGTACAGTCAACGTTTTCCCGATATCAGGAATTCCAGGTCTAAGCTGGCTTTCTGTACGACAAGAATAAATGGTGTTTTTGAGAATCATACCCTGCGGCAAACCGAAATCTTTACCAGATCCTCTAAATTACGAGGTCATTAAGGAGCTAAAATACAACTATTGCTACATGGAAGCTAACGCTGCGGCAAACTGACATACAAACCAGTAAGCTTTGTGTAATGTCATAGTGAAGTTGCTTTGGCAGTAGTATAGTGTGTATATATATATATATATATATTTTGGTATACCACAGTGCAGTTTTGTAGCATATTTTGTGTTTTGACCGCTAAACGACATTAAAATTCAGAGGATCCAGAGACAGTTGAGGAGGTAAATGTACATAAAACCAAAAGTATCGGCTTTGGAACCATTTACAACAGGATGCAATGCAGGTCATTTACAAAAAACGCCATTCATTCTTCTCATAGAGAATATCTGCTTATGGCTGCAACTCTTAATATATGCAAGATGCAGATTACAGAATAATGACATGACTTCAGGCGGTCGATCGCTGGGCGCCCAAGAGGACATAACTAGCCTTGCCCAGTAGAGCTAATTCCTCTTTCCCCCATCACTCAGCACGATGCCAGCCAACATGGATGTGCATTGAATCAAATGAATCAAATCGTGAGCTGGCCGTACATTTCAAACGATGATAGAACCAAATGACATTCAACTACTGATGAACCTGCTGTTGTAAGTAAATTTAAGAAAAACTTTACATCCCGGCACCAACAGAGGTCCGCATTGAGCAGTGCACCAATCGCAGTCAGGAGGAGGTCTCAGAAGAAATGACATGGCGATCAGGAGGTCTGTTCAGGAAGCAGCACACAAACCCAAACCACTGCGTCGTTTGGTCAAAAACACACTTTACTTTTAAAGTTTCGTTTGACGTATAGAGCCAGTTTAGGGCTCTAAAGGAACAGAGACAGGGAAAGCAGCGAGGGTGACAGCAGGACATACGGAAGATAGTAAGGGGAGGGAAATACATACCGGTCATTATGTTGTAATTGGTCTAATCTGGGCTGTTTGCTCTTCCACATCGTCATCGTAATGGCTGTCTGACTGGAGCTCTGCCACACAGCAGGAATCTGGGCCTCAATAACAGCCAAAGTAGCCAATGAGCCTGAACACAACCTGATCCAGCATGAGTCACCGAGGCGTGTGTGCACACACATCCACACACATGCTCAAAGAGTAATCGGTGTTCAGGGACCTGGTGGCTCGGTAAATTTCAGGTCAGGGACTTTTCTCCGGTTGGCACAGGTTAACTGTTCCGTTCTCTGCAAACATTACTGACTCTTCAACTTAGCCAGCAACACTGAAAGATACCAGATGAAAAGACAGCTGTACCAATGAGTCTGACAGTAAATGTGACTTGCAGGCATTTAGAGCTTCTTTCGTGTGAAAAGCGTTCCACTGTATTGTCTTCAGATCAAGGCAGCTTGTGCCAATCAATGACTCCCACGCTTAAACTGGGTTTTAATGCAGCAGATTGCTTGATCTAACCAGAGCCCTAGCTGAATGGCCTATTTTTGCTGACCCATCTACAGCGCTCTGGTTCTCCAGCTCCCCTGCCGGGTCCAGAACGCTACCGTGGCCCCCTCAAGTGCACCAAGCCAAACTGAGCCATTACAGCCCATTAAAAGCAGCTCAGGAACAGAGACACGTACAGGACATAAAACAGGCGGAGGGAGGCAAGTCTCCAAACCTCCATGGCCTGTTTTGATGGACCATCTAAAGCAGGGGTGTCAAGCTGCAGCCTTGGAGGCCTACAGCACTTTATGGCTTGATGTTCTCCTGTACTTTAACACATCTGATTCAGCTCACGGAGGGCCTGACGATTCACCACGGAGCTGAATAAGCACAGAGAAAAACTAAACTGTTCAGTGAGGGCTGGAGTTCGCAAGCCGGGATCTAAAGAACAAAACAAAGCAGGTCAGAGACGACTTGTGTGCTCCAGCCAAAGCACGTACTGCTATGATGGCACTCTTACAGGCTGTCCCCTGGTGGTCCAGTCTGACAGCATCAGATAGCACTGATTAGTCCTTCGACCCTGGTACTGACACCAAAGACTTCTTTGTTTTAGCTCTCGTTATCTCACAGGACCTGGTAGACATGTCACGCGCTATATAATGCCGTGTGAGTGGCAGAGAGGTCAAGCGAGGACTGGCCTGAGCTCTGTGTCCCCGCTAGCTTGCAGCTCTACAGCAATATCTTTAAAAGGGGCAACTTAAAATGCCACTGCTAGGGCCTCTTCAAGCTTCGTTTAGAAAATGTAAAGTTAGAGTGAGTCAAAGTGACACGAGCACTGCATTTTGTACTGGTAAAGAGGGAATAAGATGGCAATACGACTCTTGGGACGGAGATGGAGAAGCATCAAGGAACAAATACAGTACTGTGCAAAACTCAGAGACCAACCTGCATTTATTTTATTTCCAGTCAAAACAGCCCTGAAGAACAAGTTATTTATTTTTCAGCATCAGGAAAAAAACGTCAAAGAAAATTACAAAGACGCCTCTGTAACTAAACAATATTTTTTCTGTATTTGGTGAGCCCACCCTTTGACCTCAACACAGCTTCAAGTGTTTTTCAGGGGACTTGTTTTCATTTTTTTAAAGAAATCTTCGGGGATATTTTTCCACACCTTCAAAGTTCAGCCTTAGAAACTGGTCGAATTTTCTGCTTCTCAAAATCCAGGTATTCCCAAACACCCTCAATGCTGCTGAGGTCTGGACTCTGGGGTGGCCAGTCCATTGTTCTGGGACGACCAACAGATTCTTGTTTGATTTGTAAATTTTCTTTTTTTGTTCTTTTCCTTATTAACGGCTTCCTGACAGCTACACATACTTTATAAGTCCACAGCGCTGAATTGTCTCGTCACAGTGAAAGGATGGAGAGAAACACCTGTCAGTTTTTCAGATCTGAGACAAAAGTGAAGCTCGATTTTCTCTTTATCTTTTAATCATTTTGTGGAATTTTGAAAACTCCTGTTTTTCACTTAATTTTATTTTGACTCCCATTCCTTATGCAACTGGATCAGTTTGCATCTAATCCACTAAGAAAAATCTCCTAAAAATGAAAAGTATTGGTTTGGTGGTTTTGGCTGGAAATGAAATAAACTGGGGGTGGTCTCTCACATACTGCACACAGTTTAGACTCTAAATAAGAGACACACACAGTATATACACACTTACCATTTATAGTGCTAAATACAAAAACACTGTAATACAGACCAAATTATGTAAAAGATAAATATTTTTCAATATGACCAGTAAAAACGTCCCCGTTTGGTCCCAACTGATGAGGTCTCTCCAGGAGATGGTCTTATTGCTTAAACGGATTCTGCCAATCTCTCTGATTCCCCCCTCCCACAATCCACCGCAAATACACTGGCACCAAGGCAAAGACAATGGAAGTGGTTTTACCTACAAAAAGCCTCAGAACATTTATACAGGACAGTAGAGGTCCACACAAGTCCACTCTCCAGCCCTTGACGGCAGCACAGCTCGGTCATCGTGCTCACCAAGCATGGAAGATAGATTAACACCACGTTCTGAATGGGTAGTTCTGGAAATACAATGTCAGCTGAGAGAGGGAATCTGAGATGGAAGAGGAGGAAAGAGGGCATTTGAGATAGAGAGATGACAGAAGTGGAAAATGGAACGAGAAATAGATAAGACTGAGCAAAGTAGAAGAGGAAATGGCTGGATGGGAGAAGACCGTAACTGAAGGGTAACAGAAAGTTTAGGAGTAACAGAATTAGACAGGACTGGAGCAGCATACAAACCCACATGCAGGAGAACAGAAGAAGGAGTAATAGGGGAGATAATGGGATAGCAGGATGTGTTTGACACCAGCGTCACGTCTCCCTCCAACCACAGCCTTTTTCAAGTTCTGCACAGGTAGCAATAGGGAACCTGCCGCTGTGTGTCAGGGAGCCACAGGGTGACACATCAGATCAGAATCCGTTCGCCTCAAAGCCTCTGAGTCCTCTAGTTTTTGTATGCTGGCCTTGTTTTTGGTCCCAGTTCTGAAATGAAAGTAGTGTTTGAAATGCAGGACGGAGACTGGTGAGGGCGCTGTACATTCGCAGGGGCTGGCGTTCAGGGAATCTGAAGTTGCAGCTCCACCTCCTCATCGTCAGGGTCGCTGGGGGGCGCATCAGGGTCATCAGGGCTAAAGCGCGCCGAAGATGAGGTTCTCATCTTGCTAAACAAGCCAGGGTTCTGCTGACGCCTCAGCCTGTCGGAGAGAACAGACAGACTTAGGGACAGATGTACGTACATGAGAAGACCTAGTGCTAAACTGAGTTACACGGCCCCATTGTGCGCCTGCAATGTGTACAAAATTAATGTTAAATTCACAAAGGCACACAGACCCACACACAGCACTGCTTACTAATCACGCTGCGCTTAGGAGGAGCTGGGTTTCAAAGGTGCAGTCAAATGGTGGAAATCATGGAGCGAGCAATAAGTCCAGCACAAAAAAGAGAATGTGTGTTCATCAACAAAGAAATAACAGCATTAATAAAGCAATAAAAGGTGCAATTCTACTTAAAAATAAAATTGGCTGAATTAAAAAAAAACAAAAAAACAACAACACACAAAAACAATAACATGGAAAGTCAACTCGGTGAGTCTCAGAATGCTGGAGGAGTTCTGAGAGCTGAAATAGTGTTATTCTAGCCCAGAATGTGGGGTAAAAAGAACGTCGTCCAGAACTTTCACAGGTTCAGGTGTGGTGAAAATCTGGATTGTTTGTTAATATAAAGCATAGAAGATTAAAGGATTTATTATCTTCGCTGTTGACACACCACGTTTCTCCACTGTTATTACACACTGTTATAATCATCCGAGTGACCACGGAATCTCACCTCCTGTCACCATGGTAACTACGAGGAACCTGGTGCTTGTACAGTTGCTGATGTCCAAATCCAGCAGAAACAACAACTCCCGCCAAGGAAACTAAATTCTGCGCATCTTCTGTTGAGGTTCTGTCCCTGACGAGCAAATCCAATGAGTCATTCTGAATATCTAAAAATACCTCCAGGATGATCTATTAAGGTGCAAGTTGGTTGAATGGATCTTCATTTTGTGATGATTCTGCTTTAATCTGCAGCTACAATTCGATCTGTCCGTGTTTGCAGTCTGGCTAGTTTCTGCATTAATGACAAAGACAAACAGAGACGAGCGAACAGCAGCACACACTTAATTCACTGAGCTAACACTCACTTTCACACTCCATCCGCTGCTCTCACACACACACACACACACACACACACACACACACACACACACACTTTCTGCTCTAGTTATTGTCATAGTCTATCTCTCTCTGTCCAACTTTCTGCAGACACAACACCCTCATCTTCTACAGACATGTCATCAAACAATACCTGCCCACTGAGCTGCCAGCTGGGTAAATATGCCAGCTGCCCAGGTAAATACCCATTCAATAACGCTGCGGGAGTGAGGGACGGAGGGACAGAGGAAGACAGGAGGAGGGAGAGAGCTGGGGAGAGACAGAGTGAGACACAGGGCGAGAGCTGGTTTCAGGCCTGAGGCCTGTCGATGACTCACACAAATGATCGATTATATGACTGTGTTTACGAGCTGAGCCCCAACCTCAGCCTGGCTTCCAGAGAACTCTACTGACTTATTCATTCAGCTTTAATAGGAACTACAGCTCACTAAGTCATAATGATGCAGTTTCACTGCACCAACACAACTACACTGATCAGAACGGTTCCGACTGTGAAGTGCCATCGGGAATCAGAAATCATAAAGCATTTTTCTTCAATACCGTGATGTTTTCTTAGTGAAACACAGTATAAGGGAGGGTCTCATTGCACGATGACTGGTGGGAAGGGGGTATTATTGGTTAAAATGACTTTCCTCTGCCTGCTGCCGCACGGTGACGTAATAAAAAATCAGAAGACATTTCAGAAGCAGGCAGATATGATCAAACTTTCTGCATAATTAAATCATTACAGTGTAAACAAAATCATACAGAGTGGTTGATGTTCTAGAGAAACTTGCAGAGTCAGAATTGTTCACAGTGGTGGTGATAGGAACCAGACGTCTGAAGAGTCTCTAAAAGCTCCATCACAGAAAGTTATTACATGAAATGGTCATGAATATGTTGCCTGATGAGCCAGAGACACTGTGGCCTGAAACTTATTCTTCAAATACGTTAATGGTGTCTAGGGTACATGCAGGCAGTTGTGAGGCTGAATATTCCTCAAGGACATTTTCAGATTTATCACTATTTTACCATCATCATCAACTCAGAAGACAATCGTAATCATTGTGACCCCTGGTTTCTATCACCACCACTGTAAAGAAATCAGAGTCTGTAAGTTTCTCTACAACAACTTCGCACCAAATCACCCGGAGTGACTATGTTCACATCTCAATCAATGAACGATGCAGAAATTTTTAAAAACCAGTGGAATTCCCCTTTAATCAAGTAACCGAGACAGCCCTACATAACAATAACAAAGGGCTGTCTAAATCTCTCCTCCTGCCGGTGCCGATGAACTCCGGCTCTGACCCGCTCTATGAGGAAGCGCCACAGGACCTACTGACAGGAATCGGATGCCTTTAAATGGTGCTAAATTACACATTATGTTGTTTTGACCGCAGCAGCCCACTGAAAGACTAAAAGCTTTCCAATTGAGCCGACACTTAGCAAGGTTACGTTTACTCAAGAGGCAGTAAAAGATGAAGACTAGGAGAAGGCTCCAAAGAGAGGAGAGTGAGAGACACTGAGATAGTAAATGAGAGTATGAGAGAGAGAGAGCGAGAGCAGGAGGGAGTGTGAATGAGAATGCATCATGAGCGTGTGCAGGAAAAAGAGATGGAGAGAGGAGAGAGAGAGAGAGAGAGAGAGAGATGTTAAGCCTACAGTGACTCATGTCTTCAGGCACTGTTATCTATGAGCCTCTGCATATTTTAGCATTTCAGAATTTCCACTTCCAAAACTACAGTCTACAATGTAGCTGTGAGCAAAAACGGGAGATTGTGAAGGAGGAGATCGTCTCAGCCCCTCAAAGCACTGACGTGAATCATTACATGCATCCTCAATCAAACATCAAGACCAGACTGCCACCCTGATTGTACGGACTCACCAGAGTGGAACCAATACAAGAGTGGCTATTATTCTGATTCGCTCATCCTCAAAGCCACTCATATGTTCCAGGACACGGGCAGCAAATAACACGTCACTTGCAGACACGACTGTCACATCTCTCCCTTACGCACACGCACCAACACGCCCTTAACCCTCGCGTTAGTCCCGGCCCACGTACACCACTGTACCACAACCGAATTATTAGTTCATAATCCAAACTATCACAAACCTAAAAGCAAACCTGCACTGTTTGAACTGTTATCTGTCCATTTCCTTCCTTCCCTCTGCTCTCTCTCCGCTCTCACACAACCACATATTTGTTTTTAATACAACATCTGGACATGGGGTCATACAAACAATACCAGTCAAAACAGCCACTAAGAACAATTTGCCAGTTTTGGAGATCAGATATAAGCTAATCCACCTGCATAAGGAAGGGGAGAAGCCAAAGTAAGATAAAGAGAAGTTTCCAATGTTGCGGCCCAAAAAATGATTAAAATTAAAAGGCTCTTAACAACCAAGCAAAACCTGGTAGACCAGCAAAACTTCCACTATCAGATAAACAATACTTAAAGCTTTCCTCCTCGAAAGACAGGAGAAAATCAGACTCCACACTCCTTTAAGGTGGTATATAGACAGCTCAGCGTTATGAGTCTGGAAAGATGTGTAGCTGTCAAGAAGCCGTTACTGATAAAAGAAAATAGACGAAAATTTGAAAATTTGAAAATCAAACAAAGAAGCTGCTGGTGTTCCCAAAACAACTGACTGACCACCCCAGAGTCCAGACTCAACGTCACTGAATATGATTCAGATTACTTACATCATGAGAAGCAGGAAATGCACATTTTAAAAATGTTTTTCTTCACCTGATGCTGAAATATAAATAGCTACTTAATGGATGTTTTGACTGATTTATATGCACTTTCAAAGCTAAAGGTACCAAAAGATCTTCTTGGAGCCACTTTTGGTTCTTCAAATAACATTTCAATATTTTTTTTAAGTTTTTTTTAAGTTTGAAGAAGATCCACATAATGTAAAGGTTCCAGACCAAATAAAAGTTTTTTTTACTTCCAACTATTCAAGCCAAGAAACATTCAGGAACCTTCATTTTTTAAGAGTGTGTAAAGAGAATTTTAATAAAATAGAAATAAAAAATTAAGACCATTTTGTTGTCTCACACACACACATGTACACGTACGCGCACACACACAAACACACACACACCGATCTACCAATATGGGTATCACACAGTAGGGCTGGGCGATAAAACGATAACGATAAGTATCGCAATATAACTTTTCCTCGATAGAGCGATACGACATGTTCGATAAATGTTTGATATAATACACCATTCTCACACTCCCATGTTCAGCGAAAGCCTTGGTGGTGTTTTCTACTGCAAGGAAAGTGACACTACTGTGCTGTCGCCAGGAGAGGGCGCACTTCCGAGTTTTTCTACATGATTAGAGAGGGAGGGGGCCACGAGTAAGATGAGTCTTTAGCAACGGAGTTATACATTCCCTGTTTGAGTGGAGCGACCGGCGATCTGTTCTCCTGTGACCGAGTCTGAGTGACGAGGTCAGTGGTGTAACTGTACTGTCCTACAGTGAACTCACCTCTTTACTAACCTCCTAACAACTTTAGCAGCGTTAAATCACGTCTGCTGCTCTCAACTACAGCACTGTTACAGCGCTCAGTCATATTTTAGTATTAGTGATTCCCGAGCAACGAAAGTGAAAGCAAGAAGTGGTTCATGTAAATTACAGCCCTGATTTAAACGAAAGTAAACTGAGGAAGCTGTGAGGCGTTGGAGAGCGGGGGAGCGCTAGCTTTCCAGGCTAGCTGTTTTTAGCAGCTGGCTAACTTAAAGCAGCGCTTCGTCACTGCACGACACAGAGAATTGATGATACTGTAGATCAAACACGACACAAAAGCACCACTTTCAGTTTAAACGTACCTAAAGGAGGACTCTGTTTGTCTGGTGTTGATATTTTGCGGTTCACCGCTTAAACTACTACACTTGAATATCCAGTCGTCTAGCTGGTGTCTGAATACTGTGATGTCATGTAGCGGGGTAGCCGAGCGCTCGGCACCAGCTGAAATAATCTGTT